CCAACCCTAGCTGGAGTTATCTCCCACTAAGCTAGTGTTGACAAGGGTGCTCCTCTAGATGAGAAAGGCTGCACTTGGAAAATAAAATCAACCACAGTATCCAGGAATGCTCACCTTGCCAGAAGACGCAGCAGCCCACTCCCTTGGAATGGTGGAGCATTCATCATTAAGGAACTCCCCACTCCCATGCTACTCAGCCCTTCACAATGACTACACTGTGAAAAGAGAAGTCACTCATAGCTACAAGAAGTCAAGTTATAGAACAACTTTTGATAAAAACAGAAATTCTAGTTTGGCACCAACAGTGCTAACTGGTAACTTCCTTGCGGTGTTAGCCTTACCACACAGCTAAGCCTGCCTGCCTGGGAGAATAGCACCATGCTGAACGGTATGATTTCTAGTCAGAAACGGCCTTGGGGATGACACTGAGTAAGTCCACCCTCATCAGGACCTCAGCCTTTAGGTCCAGAATTGAAAAGACAGCCACTGGTACAAATCAGAAACAAGACTCTCTAGCAGGTTGAAGTTCCCTCTTAGTCATGAATTTATAATAATTTATAGACCTAAAACTAATTCCTATCCTCTCAAGACTAACCAGGAACGGGACCATCTTTAGCTTCCCAATTCTCCTTCTGGATAAAGAAGACATGATGGCCCCCACAGGCAAAGGAACATAAAATATTCGGAGGATTCAAAATAAGGCTGGCAACCTCTTATCAGCAAGCTTCTGAACGTAACTTCCTCCCAGTTTTACTTGCTCTGGGGCACCCCTTAACCCTGCACAACTTGCTTGCCCTACTTACAACTTCCAGATACCGTTCTCCTCCCCCATCCCCATGGATTCTATCTGGTCTTCCAAAATGTTTTAAGTGGCAGGGTAATAGTACATATTACAAGGGGATATTTACCCTGTGTTCTACGCCAGGAAACAGAAGGGTAAACAACTACTCAGGAGAAGATGGGAAAGATTTTTAGAAATAGGGACTTGACTTTAACCTTTAAAAACCTTTGATTCACTTTCTGGACTGACAACACATAAGGAAACCCCAACAGAGCTAGGTACCCACATCAGCATGCTGACCTTGTTAATATGGAGGGAACCAGGTGGGGGTGGGATGACAGGGAGCCTGGGGTAAGGACTATTCTTTGGGTCTAAGCAGTTTCTTACCAACTTCCCTTGAAGACTGTTGAGCTCAAACCCACTTACCTCTCCTGTCAGGAGGAGTCAGGGTACAAGAAGCTCAACTCTTGATGGCTTGGTACCACCATTTGTGTAACTATTTTCTACTTTAAAAGTAGAAAACATTTTTTGGATTCCTCTCTCATAAAAGAAAAACAATTCTCTAGTTTTAGCCTAGCGTTTCAGGCAACTTTCAAATCCTAAACATGTTTTGCTTTGTTTTCATTAGTTTATGAAGTCTATAGCAATTCTGAGACTGAGAACCCAAAAGATAAAGTGGAGGAAAAATGTCCTTCATACATGAGATATGCTCAGAGGGTATAGAAATTAGAAGTAAATGCAATGGAGCAAAAGTGGTATAGTAACAGGAAATATTTAATTTTCCAATCTCCACTTTCCATTTTTATAAACTGAAAAGAAAAAATTTAATATATTACAAAATATCTGTACACAGACAAGGTACACCTGGTGAGGGGCAAAAACAAGAGAGAGAAAGGAATACAGTGTCAGGAACCTAGGAATCAGGAGAATGAGGTGGCAACTGACACTTTTCTGATGCAGCGCTCTCTCTCAAAACCTGCTGGTAACCACTTTAGCACTGTGACTATATGCATATTACACACATGCACACGCGCACACACGCACACAAGATTGGGTGGTGTCTATGGCATAAGCTAATGGAAGTCCTACTGACAAATTTGTTCTAACTGCCCTGCTTTAAACATAGAGCTGATGTCGTTTTTAAGTCCTCACTGTTCCTATGGACAGATGAAGAAAAAACTAAGGAAATTGGGTCAAGCAAATTTGTTTTCAAAACTACAAAAATGATCATGGTCAAACCAGTTTTGCCTCACATTTGTGAACAGAATCAGATTTCTTATCTGTTCAAAATAATGTACTTAATAGGCTTAGTATCTCTCATGATACAATAGTTAACATCAAAACCACTTTGGAATGGAATACTGGATTTGTGATTTTTGAATAGCCAAGATGCTATTCAGTCAAACCTTGTACTTTGATCACATTTATAACATAGATGAAAAATTACTCAGTATCTTTTCTTTCTCCACACAGATTACAGGATATTCAAATGACTTTTTCCTCTGCTTTTTAGAGCCAAAATTACAAAACATTTTTTCTTTAAAAAATTTTAAAGTTTAGACTCCCCAAATGGGGGCAGGGATGACACACACAGACACACTCACTCACACACACACACACACACAGACACTCACTCACACATATACCCGCCCCCTTCCCTAGCAGGGATGGGGAATGGAAGCTTAAGTATATCATTTAAAATTTTTGGCATAATTAAACATAGGGAAAAGGGGAGGGAAAAAGTTATTGATGACTGCTGATAACCAAAGTACAATGAAAATATACAGAGAATTTTATTCATATGTCATGGGAAAACAATTCTTTTTCACTGAACAGATACTTTTGTAAGTATCCGAGGCTCAGCTTTTTAATGAAAAACAGGGGCAGTGGGACCCAATACCTCAAATCTGAATATTCTAAAATACAAAGGCCCATATCTGAAGACTAAGAAGTCAACAGAGAGAAGACTCAGATGAACTCTAATGGAATTTAATGACAGCATGTCAATGTGCCCAGTAAATCTAATTTGACACATTGGTATAAAAAGCCATCAAAGCCAAAATGGCTAGAAAGTTCTCTTACTCTTCCTAATCAGTGTTTGGCCAAAAGGGGAAGGTCAGACCAAAAACCAGAGAATAATAAAGAAATACACACACCAATCTCTACCTATTTCAGTAACGGGAAAACAGTCTTCATGTAAGTCTCCGAAGAGGGTTCTTTCATTAAAAAAAAAATTTTTTTTTAAATTAGTGCACCTTCCTAAGTAGATTTTATTTTTAATGTATGAACGTGGCATTGAAACATGAAACTTGTTTTGAAAACTATTCTCCACGATGCTACAGTATGTTTGCCTTTTCTCTGTAAGAGAGTTAACCTACAGTTCACCAAGGTCTAACTGTGCTGGTAAGTTCTATGACATGTATCTGTTTTTAAAACACGTCATATGCTGGTACTCATCGGGATGGAAGTCAGAACGACAGGCCTCCCAAGTTATCCCACCTTGAGAGGATTTCTCTTTTCTATTTCCTGTTTATGATAAGGCAAAGTTCTTGCCAGGAAGTCATACGTTAACTTTTTACCAAAACCAAAACCAATCACTGGAGGAAAATCCCTAAAAGAACTGGCAAGATGTACATGATAGGATGTGTACATGTCAACACTGTTCTTTCTCATATAATTTTTGTAAATAGGCTATCAGGTATTGTTATAGCTTCAGAAAAATACCCACTCTAAACTAGGTTACATTTCCATGTATTTTCAGAATGTTTCTTTTTTCTTTGACAATATCACAATGCTACTTGAGAGGTTTTTTTTGACATAAAAATATATGTGTAAACAATATGCTAACTCCTATTAGCCCTCTAGGCATATGGAGGCATCAGCTCTAACCATACTTCAGTAGCAATGTCCTCTGCTGTCCACATTTACAAATCAGCTTCCCCATCAGAACATGGCTTTTTAAAAAAACAGAACGTTTTAGAATTGAAGAGTTACAGAGAACAATGTAGGATTTTGAATTTCCTTTCTTTTATTAAAAAAAAAAAAGTAAAGAATTATTCCAGGTTCTTGGGCATCTCAACCATTTTTTTTTTCCAAACAAATGCCTCAAAAAGAAGGGAGGAAAGGTGCAGAGGAGGGAGAAAAACAGAGAAAAGAGAATGGAGAAAGGAAGGGAGAGAGGGAGAAGTAGAGAAGATGAGCAGAAATGCAAAGACACTGGGTAGTTTACCTGCTTGCCCAAGAATGCCACTTTCTACAACCTGCTTTATTGAGCAGGGAGGAGGCATAGCTTTTGTCAAAATGGAGCAAACTTTAAGAACGAGTGATTTATTTGGAAAAAACTTATATTCAAGATGCTCAATGGGAACAGAGGAGTGTTCACTTATAAACTAAAATGTGGGATGGTGGAGAGGAAGGAAACCTTTATTTAAATCAGCCAGGCCACTCTGCTTCCCTTCTAGCAAAAGCCTAAGAGCAGCTCAAATACTGTGAACACTATTCTCTTTAAAGGGGGATAAATCTATATTAAAATTCAAAAGAAAGAAATCACACAAAATTTTTTTTAAAAAAATCAAAGCCTGAGCCATTTCAAAAAGGAAACTTTTCTCTCTTCTGCTCAAGAAGTGCAGGCAATAAGCTAACACGTTTACTTCTCAGCTGAATGACCTCTCCACATCCTCCACTGTCTCCTCGGTAGAGCTGAAGGAAATGTTCTGGCTATCGCCCATCCACGGGGAACTAGTGACAACATCATTGTTTTATAAGTCGTCTGCTAGTAGCAAGTGAGCAAGGAATACAACAGACAGCTTTGCAGTAGCCAAATGTAGATGATTACCTCACTCTGGCAAATGATTTCATTAAACGTTGAGGATTGGATGGAAAGATGGACAGGGAAGGAACTTTCAGGACAATGGACTCTCTGGGTTAGTAAGGAACTCCTCTCCCTCGTCCCCCTCTTGGTGGGACTCTTGGAGGTCCCCGAAAGAGTTTTCCATAAGCAGAAGATTGAGCTGGGGCCCCCCAGTGAAGATTTGCTCCTGAGCTGCTGGCCCCAGGGGTTCCTGGCCCCAGCTCCCCATAGTTTTGCAATTTGGTCTCTGTGTGCACCACAGAGTTGCTGCTCCCCTCCGCCTTCAGGAATGGCTGCCCGACCACTGAGTGTAATGCTAAGGGAACCCTGGCAAAACGGAGATCCTGGTCTCCGGGGAACTGCACTGACCCTGTGCCCTGGTAACTGCTGGACTCCCCAAGGTGGCTCACAGAGCCTGAGAAGGTCCTGTTCTTCACCAGGGTCTGGACCAAGGATTCTGTCAAGGCTGGACCAGAGCTGCGTTCATCAGTGTCAGTGGCACTGAACCCTGATTCAGGCCCATCTGTGTTTCCGTAAGTCCTGTTTGGATGGGGTCGGGTGGAGTATTCCATTGGTCTCAAGGCCTGGTGCTCATGTGGCAGGTGGCCAGGAGGCTCTGCTTCAGGCTGGGATAAAAGTTGCAGCAAGGCGGCTGTCACGGCGGGGTTCAACTCCTGGGGGGCGCTGGAAAGATCGCCTTCAACCAGAGGGGGTGGAGGTGGCGGCGGTGGAGGTCCGGGGGGTTCAGGGGGCCTCTTCTCTGGTGGAAGAATGTGAGGAGGACATGCTGTGGAAGGGTTACTTCTTTTAAACACCATCTTAAAAATCACATGTGATTATAAGCACAAACACACTCACACATACACGCACACTGCCCAACATAATAAGTTTCAATACAAATCACCAGATATATAAAGAATAAAACCTTGGGATCAGAAAATTGCAATTTATAAGTGAAATCAAGTCGTGAAAACAGTTGCATTCTGGATCTAACAGCTGGTGTAAAAGGATGATATGTTTCAAACCATTGTCCTGATTCTTGTCTTAGATTTCCTCCATTTCCTTCCTTAAAGAACTGCTCTAATGTAGACTGTTGGCAACCTCACCATTCCTTTGTTGTTGTTAGATCAAAATGTTATTGAGGATAAAGCAGACAGAAGGAAGACAAGAGGGAACAACATACATGCTGTGGTCACATTTCTAGGACATCATCTTGTTGTACAACAGAGACCTTGCACAGACTTGGCTAACACATTTACAGAACATTTGATGAGATAAGGTTAACCTGAAATAAAACTAAATGTACAGGAGAGATGAAATAAAAAACTCATTACCATGGGATATAATTGCTTCTCCAAACTTCAGTCACCGTTCCTCCTGATCATATTCTCAAGAAAGGGATATTAACTACCACACTGTCATTCAACTTCCTTCATTGACAGTAATTATAAGGTAATATACCACTATTTTTTTTGTTTTCCTACCTTTTGCACTTTTTATTCTATTAAAAATAATCACTACAGTAGTGTCATGCAAAATGGGCTGCTGATGAACATTTGTTTATCCTGTAGTGTTGAGAACTTAGTATTTAGGAACTAATCAATCTTCACTAACATCTTTTTTTTTTTTTTTCCTTTCCCAGGAGGGTGGTTTGAGAGAGGGGTCTTGCTTTGTACTTCATGCTGGCCTTCAACTCACTATGTAGCACAAGCTGGCCTCGAACTCTCAGTGATCCTACCTCAGCCTCCTGGGTGCTCAGATTACAAGCATGTGCCACCAGCCGAGCGTGTCTTTCTTGAAACACTTCCTCAGACTTTCTTTTTTCCACTGCTGTTTAAATTGCCTAATCATGGCAATCATTTGTCTGATAACGAACTCCTGCAAAGGCAGGAGATAAGAGATGTAAAATGGTGTGAGACTGAAGACATACAAAACCACTGAGACAAAAGTATGGTTAGAATAGTGCCTTTGGAGAACTGGGAGTCACCCTGCTTAAGGAAAGGCTTGGAGGGTCAGGGATTTAGCTCAGTGGCACAGCACCTGAGTTCAGTCCCCAGGAGAGAAAAAAAAAAAAAAAAAAAAAAAAAAAAGAGACAAGAAAAGGCTTGGAACATCTTCTAAATCACTGATTTTCCTTCTTCCATGTTCTCTCCATGGAAGCATGTTTTAAAATATCCAGTCATTCTACCATTTTTGAGCCAAAAGTGATATGAAATCATTACTTAGGCAAGATGAAAGCAATTTTTTGTTATATTTTCATAATTAGCATATTCACCTTGATTTTATTTTACAAAAACACTAAGTTTGCATTTCCTAAGCATGCAGATGAAAGCACTCTGGAAATGCTATATAAAATCTTAGGTTGTGCAGTGCAAGGATGAGCGTTAGGTGCTGTATGTAATATACAAGGCATTTGATCAACAGCCTGTTTTCCCAGGACTAAGAGGGTTCCAAGGTTGCCAACTATCAGTTTTAAAACCAGGACAGTCCAGGGACAACTTGTTCATCTTATATGTAGTATGCCCAGCAAGTTATTTGTTGACTGATGGCCTGGGTGGTGGGTAGCAGGGGAAAATGAATTTAAGGACAGAAAATTAGCTATGGAAAATTCACAATTTGCAAAGTAGATAACCCTGACATGCTAAACTGACTACAAGCACCTATGATTTCAGAGTCTTTTACTGTCAACATCACAGATCTTTTGTTTTATATAATGTCCTATATAAGGACATTGAAGTACCAGGCATTTAAAAGTATGTGGGGATGAGCTGGGGATTTAGCTCAGTGGTTCTGCCGCCTGACTCCCAAGCACAAGGGTCTAAGTTTGATTCCCTGATACTAAAAGAAAAAAAAAATGTATGTATGGATTATACATGCGATGGAACACCAGGGGTTTAACACTGAGGGCAAACAACTTTAAAAACGCATGACTGCAAAAGTGGGCAAATTTAAACTTGCATTTTCCAACTACACTGCTTTTCATATTTAAACTTTATCTTTTATGTAAATAGCCTAATTGTGTGTTTCAACAGAATTAATTCTTGGGCTCAAATTCACATATATCAAATGAAAATTCTATTTCAAAATAGCAACACAGATGGATTGTAAAGACTAAAGTTAAAACTTCTTAAAGGAATTAAAAAATATGAATTACAAATCACATTGTTCTACGATTTAAATTGTTAATGTTGTCAATCTTCAACAGTTTTGTACTAATGCAAGGAGGTATTAAGTAAATGTAAAAATAACTTTAAAAACTTTAAAAAATTTATTAGATTTCAACCACTGCCCTTTCCCAACAAGTACAGAGTAACTGAGAGTAGCCAAACCAATAGGCTGTCTCTTAGGGTTACAGTCTGCCCTCTGGTGGAAGTGTTAATGAAAAGTGCGATGGCCCAGTAAAGGAAGAAACAAGAACAGGAGAGAACAAGGGCAGGGGGCGGGGAAGACTACAATAATTAGCTGTGGCACTTTATGCTCTCCTCTGAAAAGTAAATCCAACAATTTCTGGCCATAGGTCAGTTGGGCCTTAGTTTTAGTTCAATTTCATTATGTGGCTGATAATTTGTTGGTTCAATTACTGGGTGAATTTCTTCCAATCACTATGCTGTTTAGTTTGTTAGACCTACTTCTTTCAGGCATTCTCAATAGAGCTGAACCTTTCTTGGTGGGTGGAAGAGGGAGGAGTCAGAACCTGAGTGCTGAGACAAAGAGGCTACTTTACTTCTACATAGCCTGTTCTCTTACCACAGGTCCTAGAGTCTCTTAAAAAGAACTGCCCACAGAAGAGTGGCAAAGTGAATCAAGAAGCACATGAGCTTCACTTTTTGCCAAAGGACTATAGCCAAATTTATTTAATCTCCCTGGATTGCAGTTTTCCTATTCATAAAATAAGGGGCTAGTTTTATTACCTTCCAATTTTAAGTATCTTCATATATGAAAAATGACCTAAGACTACTGAAAATAAAACCATGTATTTTTCTGCACTATTCCACATAAAATGTGAATGCAGTCCCTAGAGTTGAAGGGTTTGTGTACCTCTTCAGCCCTTGTGGCTCTTCTTATTCCCCAATTCATGGGGTCTTCTTAGACAGCGAAAATTTCCAAGGAGTTGACAACAGGTTAGATTTTGCAAATAGATTGAATCAGAATTCATGAGAGAATTTAAACTTCTTTTTTCTCTAATAAACTGCATGCTGTGGTCATATGAGATAAAGGTATAATATTTTTTTCAGATTTTTTTCCTTTTTATAATGTTGGGGTCCATTCCATTGTTTCTTTCAGGGAACACATACTTAAAGGAGTCATTTTTATATGCTATTATTTTTTGAAAGGAAATATATGGTGTTAATTATCTACTTAGAGCTGTTCCCAAATTATTCTTCAAGAATTAAAGTGATTATTTTATTGGGGTTTTCTTGACTGGATCTTCCAGGTAAGACTCCCATATACAGCATCCACTCCACTAGAGGTGAAGAAATACAATGTGACAACAGTTTGTTCTAGGACCAGCTGGGCACTACACAGTGGTTCAAAACACATTCCTAGCCATGGCTGTGGTTTCCTTGGTTAGAACAAAGGGGTTTTACTTACCTATATCCTATAAAGTGGAAAAACAATCAGTATATGAAAGGTGCTTTGAGAAACTCTGAGACTTAAATTAAAGAGTTGGGTAAGAGATACATCACCTTGGTGCTACGTTCTCCTGTAGACTAGGTCACAGAAATACTGAAATTGAGGTCATTGATGTGAAAAATAAAATGTTAGAGATTTTTAAGAGGATCAACAGCACCTGAGCTCAATGAGATTCATGACCGGTCTGTTTACCTGCTGCCTCCTCCTGTGGCATTGTGGGAGTTCTTCGAGGCCCCTGTGGCCCACTATTCTTGTCACTGTTGTTTTCCTCTATGCTGCCTGCTGGTTCCTGGGTTTTCATCAGCTGACTCAGGAGAACTGCCAACATATTCTGCATGTCAGCTGGTGTGCTTGAAGCTTCAGGGGTTGTCTGTTCTGCTGAAGGCAGGGCTGCTGGGGCAGGGGGTGCTTCCTTCAAAGACTCCTCTGGGGGCACCGGCTCTGAGTTCTGCTGCTGGGAAGTGGCTTCTGTCAGAGCATTGATGGATTGGTTGAGGGCTTCCAGCTGTTGCTGCATCTCCGGGTTAGAGTGGATGTTAAGCAGCTGTGCCATTTGAGGAATGCTCAGGTCAGTTTGGCTATGCAGCAGGTTCAATAACACTGCTAATTCACTTTGATTCAGTTGCTGTGTGATGTCACCAAGGCCTGTGGGGAGACAGTGGAGCCAATATAAGAGGACGAGGCAGGGCAGGGGCCCCTTTCCTTCTTCAACTGTCAGTAGCAACTTAACTGAAAAACGGTTTCATTTTGAGTGTCTCATTTTTCATGTCTCAAATTGCTAGGACAGAGGTTGTTAATCTTTATACTTTTGCTTAAAAATACAGAGACTAAAACATCTCTGTGTGTGAAAGTGATTTCATTTTATTTGTAATCTTTATGGTCAGTGATTTTCAACCTTTACTGCACATAAGAATTACTAAGCTTTTCAATTCAAGCAGGGTATGATAGTACAAGCCTGTAATACCAGCACTTAGGAGGATGAAGCAGGAGGCCTGCAAGTTTGAGGCCAGCCTGGGATATAGAGTAAGACCTCATCTCAACAAAAAAAATTCGTGCCTCATCCCTAGAAATCTGGCATTGTACTTGAGGGTATTCTTTTGTTTGTTCAAGTTTCTTGGACAATTCTAATGTGTAGCCAATGTGGAAAACCCTACTACTGTGCATGACAGGGAACAGAGAGTGATCAGAAAAATATTTGCAGTTCAGAAAAATTTGTGGTACCAGAAGTATTTCATTATAAAACCAATTCATTATGACACAGTTTTAAATATATTCAGATCAAGTAACAGTTTACAGGAATAACTACCGATAATGGTGGAGAACCTATGGCATATGTGCTGCAGTGGGCATGCGAGCCAAGTCGCCCTTGTAGCTGAACAGTTGTTTTCTCTAAACTAAAACCTCAGTATTCAGGTTTAATTGCAGTGCTGGCACTCTGCGGTAAATAAGTGGGTTTTGGGATGTAGTTTGGGCACTCAGTCTCTAAAAGGTTCCCCATCACTGACCCATAGCAATTATAATTTAACACTGGATTCTAAAACCTTATTAACCTAATGTAACGTGGCTCCAAATTATGTGTATTCAAAAGACATGGGTGAACTACCTTAAATTTCGCTTACCTAATTCACTGACTTGTGCCACACAGTATTCCTTATTTCCAGGAAGGAAAATGGTCTATCACGGACTTTGTTAACTGTATGTACCAAATGTAGTCTGGTTTATGTTCTCCCCATAAATGAGGACATCAGCTTCTTTCTTAAGGCCTCATTGGGCAAGTGAGGCCTCTTTCCTAAGGCCTATACTGATGTATAAAAGATACAACACACATGCGCATGCACACTCCTTGTACTTGATCTTCAAAATCTGCCAAAATGTGCAGAAGTAAACAGAAGCACAAAGGCCCCATTGCAGCACTGACCTACTGAATCCCCAGCCCCGGGCTGCTCCACTTTGCCAGCAGCAGGCTGAGGTGGTGCTGGGCTACTGCTCTTCACAGGCTCAGCACTTGTCCCTGAGGTAGTTTCTTTCCGAGAAACTTTGGATGGAGGTGGCTCTTCCACTACAATACCACTTTGTCGCTGTCGTCGCCGTTTCTTACTCCATAATTCATGGCAATCCTGCCAGTGAGGGAGGCTAGAAAAAGACAAAGCAAACAGGAATGCAGTAGTGAGTGAACGAAGGGATAAGAAAGCAAGCATCATGGGAAGTGGAAATAATAAGGAAAACATAAAAGCTACAGGATATATAGAAATATGGCAGGTGATAGTCTGAGGAAATAAGTCTGCAAGTCCAGAAGATTTATACAGTGAGAAATGAGAATCTTGCTACTATTAAGGACACAGTGCATATATAAATGCCCACATTCTAGTCAGATACTGTTTTTTTCTTCACATAGCAAGAAACAAACCAACAAACAAAAACAAACAGAATTTAACTAGGTGTGGTGGTGCACACCTGTAATCCCACCACTAAGGGAAGCTGAAGTTTTAGTCTCGCTTGAACAACTTAACAGTGAGACCAAGACTCAAAATAAAAAATAAAAAGGGGCGAGTATGCAGCTCAGTGGTAGAACACCCTGGGGTTTGATCCCTAGTACACACAACAAAATAAAAGTCAAACGATGGTCAAATTTCAGCTGAGAACAAATAAAAGGACAAAGATTACTGGCTTAATAACTATAAAAAATCTAGGAAAGGTGATTTAAATCTTGGAATCATATAAATATAATTAAGTTGCATCTGTGCAAGATCTGTTATTGGGTCTGTGAGGACCAAAGACTGGTTCTTTCCTCATTCTGCCTGCCCCTCAAATCTCCATGACTGAACAGTATTAACTTTTTCATCTATGGAGTTTAGCACTCTGTATTGTTTGGTATATTTCCAGACTTTCCCATACTCAATAATATAATCACTATAAGCCAGTCAAACTTTATGACAAAATCTCTGTAATAGGAGTTTACAAATTTTAAGAAAAAGCTTAGGTATTTCAACCACATTCAGTAGATGAAAATTTTGTGAGATAAGTGAATTTGGGCTTATCTTTGGAATAATCAGCTTTATAGTACCACCTACACATGTACACCCTATCCATGTCTTTAAGCATGCAGTCTGTCCTAAAGAAAGAAAATGAAAAAAAAAAAAATAAAGAAAAAGAAAAAGAAAAAGAAAAAGACACGGAAGCTATATTACTGTCAGTGATAAATTCAAACATAAATTACAGACTTTCTTGGTGCCAGAATATGGGGATACTTTTGCAGATCCTACAAAATACAAGAACTGCATAAGATTACATTTTGTGGGGGCAGTACCAGGGATTGAACTAGGGACCTTGCACTTTTGAGGCAGGTGGCACCACTGAGCTAAATCCCTGACCCGAAGTTCTTATGTTTTATGTCAAAATTCAATGAGCTGACAGTCATGCAAACTATTTAGAATTAAGAATGAGAAAATAATGGTTACCAAAGATCTAAGTGACTTAAAAAGATGGAATGGGTAAGAGCAGAAGCAAGAACACTTTCAAAGAGTTTGAGTATTTGGGGCAGTATTTGGGGGATCAGAGACAAAAGAAGACTGCTTAGTCAAACTGAAACAAAACTTACAGCTAAAGTGACAACTATTTAAAACAATAAAACAAACTTCTTTATCAACCATAATATTCAAGGAAATGCCTTCATTTGAGACTTAGCTATTTGTGGTTCTTTTGAATTATTATTTTGAGGTTCTCAATAAAACTATTATTTTGAGTACAGGGGAGGTTTAGGGTTCCTACACAGCAACCAGCACTTACTCTGGCGGAGCCATTTTGCTGAGCTCCACATCTTTAAGGAAGTCACTCTGTAGGGTCTGTTCCGCTGTGCAGCGCTTGCTAGGATCCAGTGTCAGCATGTGATCCAATAAATCAAGTGCTGCTGAAGGAATGCTGTGAAAAGAAAAAGAAATTCTAAGTTTGCAATGACCCTACAGTGTACTAGGGACTAAACCCAGGGCCTATGTACTGAGCTGCACTCCCAATCCTTTCTATTATCTTTTGAGAAAGAGTTTTGCAAGTTGCTAAATTGCCCAGACTGGCCTTGAACCTGTGATCCTGACTCAGCCTCCCAGGTGATAGGATTGCAGGCATTTCTTAAACTTGGCTGTACAGTTTTTAAACTTGTAAACTTGTGTCAAAAGGGCTCTGAATTTCTAGCTCCATGTAATCCTGAGCAAAGGGAGCTGGAAGCTGGCTAATGAGAGTGAGCAAATATGCTCCCACACAGGATTTAAGAAATGCTGCAGCCAGGTATGATGGCAGATGGCTGTAATCTCAGGATTTGGGAGGCTGAGGCAGGAGCATCATCGTGAGTTTGAGGCTAGCCTGAACTACACAGCCAGACCGTGTCTTAACAAACAAAAAAAGAAAGAAAAGAAAAGCTGAAATGCAGGTAAAAAATATGAAACCACTAGTTCCATTCTTTTTCCATGGGAAGATCAAAAAGACTGTAGGAAATTTATATATTATTCAAAATAAAATAGTTTTCTATTGTCTAAAGCCCTTAGATGAGAAAAGGGCTATGATAAAACTCATATACTCAAAATTCATATATGAAATGCACAACATGGTAAACTGGGGCAATATTATCTCTTTAGGCCAGAAAAAAGCCAAGTCCCATATAAGCTAAACCAGAAATGAGGTCTGTATTTTTGCCAAACTCACAAAGAGAATTCCTCTCGTAGACGCCGTCTATATTGCTTCTTTGGTTTCATGGTGTTGAAGTAAGGCAGCTTGATTACATCAGGCCACACAGCTGGACAAGGACTACCACAGAGGCGGCTGAAAACAAAACAAAAAAAGCAAGAGCAAGAAAGTGAGTAAGTTAGCATCCTGAATTCTGGAGGTTCTAGAAGCAGAAATTATTACCTCCTGAGGACTGGGCAATCTTTATTACATTAGAGGATATGCAGAAAGGTAAATTATGACCTTACTGTTTAAGAACATAAAGAATAGGATATAGCTGGGTGTGGTGGAGCGTGGTGTAATCCCAGCACTCAGGAGGCTGAGGCAGGAGGATCGCTGTGAGTTCGAGACCAGCCTGGGCTACATAGTGAGTTCCAGGGCAGTCTCAACTACATAGCGAGACCCTGTCTCAAAAAACAAAAAACAAACAAGCAAACAAATAGAATAGGATAGAAAATCAACAAGAAAAACATGCTGGTAAAACAATGCAAAGTAATCCATGTATTTGGTATTGTAAAGCACATTTTTAATCTCTCAAAGAGTTTTTCATTACCAATTTTGTTCTGTTCAGTTATTATTAATTTCCAGTTTAAGAAAATGGTCTGGGGATTTAGCTCAGTGGCTCCACTGCCTGCCTGCAAGCACAAGGACCCAAGTATGATCCTCAGTACAAAAAAAAAAAAAAAAATTATAGGAGTGGGTTCTAAAGTCCCATAGGGAAAAGTGAGATGAAAGCCCAATAATTGAGAATTTACTGTGCAATAAGCAATTATTTATGGTATATTATCTTCTAAAATGTCTACATTTGCTTGTTGTATTCTTCCCTTCAATTTTATTGTGGAGAAAGAAAAAAAAAAAAGAATCCAAATTTCATCCTAACCTCAGACCTTCTCCTTATCTTTTATTATAGGTTCTTTTTTTTTCTTTTGGTACCAGAGATCGAACTCAGAACCTTGCACTTGTGAGGCAGATGCAGTGCCACTGAGCTAAATCTCTGGCACTATAGCTTTTATTTTTATCTATCTTCTATCTTACTTTTCCCTAAATCATAAAGTTTGAAAGAAAAGTCATCAGTTCTATAAACAACTCAGTAACTGTTTGCTGAGTAAGTTTAAATTTTAATCTTGTTTTATTTTTTGGTACTGGCAATTGACCCTAAGGCCTCATGCCTGGTGAACACACTTGATCACTGAGGTATACCCTTAGCCCTATAAATTTAATGTAAGAAGAATTCAGTCATCCTGAAACTAGCATGCATTATCACTTTTTTTTTTTTTTTTTTTTGAGACAGGGTCTCACTATGTAGTTCAGACTGACTTTGAACTCACTATGTAGCCCAAGCTGGCCTTGAAAGTGATCCTCCTGCCTCAGTCTCCGTAGTGCTGAGTACAGGCGTGCATCACCATGCCCAACTTTATTCTGTTTTTTTGGTTTTGGTTTTTTTTTAGTTGAGACTATGTAGTCGAGACTGAATGACCTGGAACTCACTATGTAGCCCAGGCTGGTCTCGAACTCACAGCAGTCCTCCTGCCTCAGCCTCCTGAGTGCTGGGATTACAGGCGTGCACCACCATGCGTGGCTTCCAGCTTCACTCTTAATATTTTTGAGATGTGTCTTGCTATGTTGCCCAGGCTGGCGCTGAATCCTTGGGCTCAAGTGACCCTCTCACGTCCGCCTCCTGAGTACTTGGGAATATAACCACACCACTACACTCAGCTGTAGCACACCGTTATCTGAAGAACTAATAAAATATACCAGATAGAACTTAAAAATTATGGGGAGGGGTTGGGGATGCTGTTCAGTGATATAGCACATGCTTAGCCTGTACAGGCACTGAGTTCAATCTCCAAGAGCAAAAAAAAAAGGGTGTATACATACACAATTCCTTATGTAAATATAGACATATTTTATAGAATTGAGGAATACAGCTTCTTTACATATACAAACCATGACAAAACAGGTAAACACAACTAGGCAAAGAGAAACTTACTTGTATGACCATTTAGTAGAAATTTAGTACAGTGGTGCCTTGGTTCACAAACAATTCATTCCATCACTCTGGAAAAGATGGCTATATTCATGTTTGTGTGAGAAAGATAGTCAGGGTTGTGTTCATCACCTGATGCAGAGTTCACAAAGACAAAATTTTACCAAGTTCTTCTGTTTGTGAATCAAATTATTTGCAAGCAAGAGCATTTATGAACCGAGGTACCACTGTAAATTTTAGAGTAACTGCCATGTTTCAGAAATTAAAGGATTATATTACTTATCACATCTGGGCATTCAAGACATGCAAGCTATACCTGATCAGTTCTAGCTGAGCCAATTCCAGATTAGCTTGAAAAATAGGCTTCTTTATGAACAGTTCCCCAAGGATGCACCTAGAAAGAGTAAAATTGAGAGGTCAAGAAATGCTAGGAGCCTATTTCAAGTATGTCTCAACAAACTTTTACAGTGTATCAGACAACATCTGATAGCAGATCTAGTTGTAAACTAGACTAGAACTTCAGTGTATGAACTTCCTAAATAAAAATTTTTTGAAATGAAAACACACAGTATAAAGCAGCAATGGTGAACCTTTTAGAGCTTTCAATCATACAAACAGCCCCCAGCAGCATGTGTGCCATTGGTTTGCCACCACTGGTATAAAAGATTTAAATTTGCCTTCAGATTAAGCTTTTCCACCTGTAAAGAACAGTCTAGGGCCGGGGATTTAGCTTGGTGATTCCACCGCTTGCCTTGCAAGCCCAATGACCTGAGTTTGAACCCCAGTACCTGCGGGGGGGGGGGACAGTCTATAAGCAGAGAAAAGGAGTCAAGAGTCCTTAATTTTGGGTCAGGGATTTAGCTCAGTGGTGACACAACCTGCCTCACATGCATAAGGACCCTAGTTCGATATCCCTGGTTTTTTACTACATTACATTACTGTAAGAAAATAACTAAAAAGGGCCGGGGGATTTAGCTCAGTTGTTCTGCTGCCTGCCTTGGAAGCTCAGCATCCAAGTTTGATCCCCAGTATGAAAAAAAAAAACAAAAAAAGAAAAGAACTAAAAACAATTTTGTGAGGGAGCTCAGTAGTATCTATAAAGGAAAGTCTACTTTGTCATTAATTTGTTCAATAAAATATGTTCAGCCCACTGTATTTGCAAAGAAAACAATTTACTGTCATCCTCCAGAATTAGTTTTTTTCTTTCTTATTTTGGGTACCAGGGATCAAACCCTGGTACATCTTGTGCTTGCAAGGCAGGTGGTGTGGAGCCACTGAGCTAAATCCCTGGCTTTTTTTTTTTTTTTTTTAAACTGGGTCTTGCTAAATTGCCCAGGCTGGGTTTGAACTTGAAATCCTTACATAAAATACCTAACCACTTATATAATGACAGCACAATAATTAAAGTTAGGAAATTTTAGAATTTATATACTATTTTTACTTTTATACTAGTTTAGTCCTTATTCCATATTCTTCTCCCCCCGACTTTTCATACTGGACCACTGAACTATATCCCTGGCCTTCCATTTCCATATTCTACTTACATTACATTGCTGACAATATCCTGGAAACAATACAACCAAATCTAGGACCACAAATTGAACTTGTTTGTCTGTCTCTTTTTTTAATCCCTTTAAGAGTGTCTCAATTTGCCCAGGCTGATCTCAGCCTCCTGAGTAGCTGGGATTACAGACATGAACCACCCCGGAGCCTGAGGCTGGAGAAGCTGTGAGTTTGAGGCCAGTCTCAAATACATAGTGAGATTCTGTCTCAAAAGACAAAAAAAATTAAAAAATGAAAAAAATAGGGCCGGGGATTTAGCTCAGTGGTTCTGCAGCCTGCCTCGCAAGCACAAAGTTCTGAGTTTGATTCCCAGTACTTAAAAAAAAAAAGTTAAAAAATTCAAGGGGAATGAAAAAAGGAATTAAGATGTTATGTCCATGTACTTCCCACAAGGAAGGAAATGTTGCTTACTACACACATGCACTAATAAACTAAAATTTTAAAAATTACTTAATGCCAATAAAGGCTTTTATCACACATTTGAGGTGATCCTAAATCACATGACTAATCTCTACTTTTTTATGTCTAGATACTTCATTAAAAAAGGAAATTAAGCTGGGCATAGTGACGCACGCCTATAATCCCAGCGCTCGGGAGGCTAAGGCAGGAGGATTGCTGTGAGTTCGAGACCAGCCTGGGCTACATAGTGAGTTCCAGGGCAGTCTCAACTACATAGTGAGACCCTGTCTCTAAACAACAACAACAACAACAACAACAACAACAACAACAAAACAAACAAAAAAAAACCCCAAAAATCAATTCCTTTCTTTTTGGTTTATTTATTTATTTATTTTAGACAGGACCTTGCTTTGTAGTACAGGCTGGCTTTAAACTCACTATATAGCCCAGGCTGGCCTCAAACTCACAGAGATCCTCCTGCCTTAGCCTCCCAAGTACTGGTATTACAGGCATGTACCCACCACACTCAGGTGACTTGTGCTTTTGAAATGAGTTTTATTTACAAATACAAAACTAAGTTTATAGATTTACTTGGAAATGTTTCAGCTTGATTTAATCTGAGAAAGTAAAACAACCCTAGCTTTAAAGTAATTAATGCCATGTTGTAGGTATTTAATAACTTATTGGCATTTACTAATGTATTTGCATTTATTTGCTAAATTAGCATTTATCAAATGACAAGAGAAAAATTTTCACTTCCAATATTGTTAAACTTTAGAGATGGAAAGGGTAAAAGTAAAATTTAGTTCTGTCTTCAACATCAACTGTCAAATCAAGTTCCAAATACAAGGTTGTAACAACTGGTAAACTAAAAGGAAAAAAGAAAAACTCACAAAAAACAGTGAGATTTTTCAGTTTGTAAGCTGAACTGCTCCACTCTGTAATTTTCTGTAAAGATACCATACAAATACCTTCAGAGAAAATACCCTGGATCACAGAAGCAGTAAGTTCACTTCAAAAGCCACATCTCAGTTCAATAAGGCACTGGGAAGAGGCATGGTGCCTGCCGACAAGCACCAGGACCTGACTTACATTCCCAGTATCAAAGAAATGGTCACTGTGGCTGGGGATTTAGCTCAGCGGTTCAGTGGCCTGCCCTGCAAGCCCAAGGATCAGAGTTCAATCCCCTGTACCAAAAAAAAAAAAAAAAAAAAAAAAAACAGAAAGTGTGTGTGTGAGACAGGGTCTCACTATGTAGTTGAGACTGCCCTGGAACTCACTATGTGGCCAGGCTGGTCTTGAACTCACAGCGATCCTCCTGCCTCAACCTTCTGAGTGTTGGGATTAAAGGTGTGCGTCACGTGTCTGGCAAGAAAACTGATTTTTAAATTGTTTCCAGGACCAGGGATTTAACTCAGTGGTGCTGACCCATGCTTTGCAAGCATAAGGACCCGAGTTCGATCCCCAGCACCCTCCCCCAAAACAGTTGTTTCCAGTTGTTTTTATGTTTTTTTCAGTCTTTTGGTGGAGAAGATATTTTCATTATGCAACCATCACTTTGCTACTGCACTGAGATGGGTAGCACAGACTGAAATAAGAGTACCAACAGAGCTATGTACTTTTCCATACATCTTAACGGGGCGTTAACTTTAGAGCCTAGTTGTTACAATTTAAATGCTAATACTGTTACAGCAAATAGTCCAGAACACAAACACACCCAGCTTGAGTCAGTAAAATTTAACTAAAGCTTCGTTTGATTTGGGCAGGCTATTTAGAAATTATGGCCCTTTTCCATCATTCTGTTGAATTTTGAAATGAAACCCATGTAGTGATCTTTTTAAAGACTGACATTAACAGAGGAAGGAATGAATGGGAAAAGGTGATCTGCTCTTTAAGAGGTAAACTGTGTATGTCAAAATCATAAAGCATGAAGGTCAAGAAAATGTGTTGTACATTAGAAACAACTAACACAGATGGCCCTTTGAAAAACAGTTATGCTTCTATCAGACATATTGTGGTCTCTAAACATCATTTTTTTTTTTCACTGAAAGGAACTCCTTCAGGGAAATGGCTGATTCCAAGTCTGGGCAGGAAATAAACAGGATAAGCCTGGTACCAGAAAACTGTCAAAGATCACTATGATGCATCCAGAGAACTTGAGCAATAACTTGACAAAACTCCCATTGGTGAAACACTGGATCAGTTAAACAAGAATAGGGATGGGTCAGGGATGTACCTCAGTGGCATAGAGCCTGACAGGTAATCACAAGGTCCTGAATTCGATCCCAGGTACAGGAAAAAAAAAAGAAAAAAAAAAAAAAAAAAAAAAAAAAAAGAAAAAAAAAAAAGGACTATAACCATAATGGACTACATCAATGTTTAAATCCAAGAGTTTATAATGAAAAAAATACACAACAAAAAAATCTTCTCTGGTCATTTTTACAGAACAATAGGAAACCGTGTCATTATTTTGAAAACTGGTAAATAAAATGAAAGAGTTGAGCTTTAATTTCTCTATAAAGTTTGCACCTGGGGTCAGCCACATAGTTGTTATCTTTATATAAATATTCCTATAAGGAATAGAATGAGAATGTGGCCAGTACCAAACAACCTCAAATGAAGCTGGGTGTGGTGGTACACACCTGTGATCCTAGAACTCAGGAGGCAGAGGCAGGAGGATCTCTGCAAGTTCAAGGACAGCCTGGGCTACAAGCTGAGATCCTGCCTCAAAAAAACCCCCCTAAAAACAACAAAAAATCACCAGTAGGTAATAACATTTCAAAAAAGACATATGGATCTTTTTATTTAAAGTAATATGTAAACATAAATCTGCCTTAATAGGGATGAAATATTTTATCAGGCAGGTTTAGAACTGTTCCCATACAGCTGTAATTAAAACTACTATATTAGAATGGATTACTTTATTGATTTTAAATTATCCACAGAAAATACAGCTTGTTACTCTGGTTAGAGGCTCCTAATATTTCGTACCCCCAAATTTGCTGTGCCACTGACTATGTAACTTGCTTTAGTTACTCAAAACCATCTCAAAGTAAGGTCAGTGGGTGCATGAGAATCCATCTTGGACTCACCTACTACAAAAAATAAAAAGGATAAACCATATGAAAGATAAATGAATAAATAAATACTCCATTAAGGATATAACATGCAAAATCCCAGACTGTGAGAAATCTACAGAACAAATGACCTAGTTCCCCCTAAGGAAAAAAATCCAGGAGAGATAGAAAGGAGATATTTAATTAAAAGACTTACAATCAACTATACTCTATGGACCTTACCTGCATTTAATATTTGGATACTAATTCAAACAAAGTTAAAAAAAAAAGACAATTGAGAAATTAAAGAAGTATTTTTTAAAAAAGCCTATCTCAGATATCAAAAAATACTGAACAGAACAAGCATGCCCACCGTTTTGAACCTAAGAAGAACTGTAAAAAGCCCATGTAGAAAGAAAATGGGTAATAAAGCAATAATCCGTTAGTTGCTGGAAAAAAAAGTTAGAGAACCTTACTTACCCACAGCTCCAAACATCTATGGCTGGTGTATAACGCTCCTCTCCCAGAAGCAGCTCTGGAGGTCGGTACCACAGAGTAATGACTTTGTTTGTGTAAGGGCGACTGAAATGTAAAACCATTACATGTAAATTTACAATGGGCTTTGGTGAAAAAGCAAACAGACATAGCTGCCAATTGAAGATGAGATTATTAAAACAGCTCCACATGAATCTAACTGTCTAAAAGTGGGAGACAGAAATGGGAGATGAAACAACTTTTATTCCAATTTGGGTTGACTTATTTAAGCCAAGGGCTAATTCAATAATTTAGACAGAATTTAATTTCTAAAATCCATGTGGCAACATTTTCAGGTAATTATGGAACTCTGACAGGTACTGCCATTTGAAGAATACTAAGATACTCAAGAATAAAAGGGCCTGGGGATTTAGCTCCGTGGTGCCACTGCCTGCACTGCAAGCACAAGGACCAGAGTTTGATCCCTGGTACCAAAAAATAAATAAATAAAAAGAGAAAAAGGGCTTTTTGTGGGGCACCAGAATTGAACTCAGGGCCTGGTGCTTGCCAGGCAGGAGTGGCGCCACTGAGCTACATATTCAACACTACTCAAGAATGAAATGATTCTTGGGGCTGGGAATTTAGCTCAGTGGTTCCGTCACCTGCTTCAATAGTGTAAGGTCCTGAGTTCAATCCCCAGTTCCCCCCCAAAAAAGAATGAAAGGATTCTTTCCTATTTCCCACATGTAATTTTGCCTTTTTTTAAAATACACTTTTTTTGAAACAAAGGTCTACATTGTCCAGGCTGACCCTGGACACTTAGGCTCAAGGGATCCTTTCCACTTGTAATTCTGATGAATGCCTTACCTCTCCTCGGAGTTATAGAGCCGAGCAAGTCCAAAATCTGCTAGTTTGATTTGTCCACTGTAAAAGAAAAAACAATTATTTTGTAGTAATGGCAGTGGTCCCCAAACCACACTTCAAAAAAAAAAAGGAGCCAATTCAGGAGTTAAAAGAAATACAAAAAACAATTTTTACCTCTGTTCTTTTCTTCCTATTCATAATTATCACTTTCACCAATTAAGCCTCTTTTGATTATCCCAGTTTACAATGCCTCAGGCTTTTTTTTTTTTTTGAGACAGGGTCTCACTATGTAGTTGAGACTGCCCTGGAACTCACTATGTAGCCCAGGCTGGTCTCGAACTCCCAGAGATCCTCCTGCTTCAGCCTCTCAAGTGCTGGGATTACAGGCGTGTGCCACCACGCCTGGCTGCCTCAGGCTTTTTATTAAAAGACCATTACTGCATTTTTGTTTTTTGAGACAGGATCTTGCTGGGTAATTCAGGCTGTACTTGAACTCACTATGTAGCCCAGGCTGGCCTCAAATTCATGGCGATCCTCCTGCCTCTGCTTCCCGATTGCTGGGATTACAGAAATGCACCACTACACCCAATGCCATACTGCATTTCTGGATTTGACTTTTTGCTTTTTTAGTATGGCAATAGTGGGGAATGAATCCAGGGAGTGCTGAAGTAACATTCGCAACCCTTTTTTATTTTTGAGGCAGGGCCTTGCTAAGTTGCCAAGACTAGCCGCCAACTTGCAATTCTCCTGCCTTAGCCTCCTAAGTATCTGGGATTACAGGTGTGTGCCACTGTGCCTGACTGAATATATAGTCTATACATTTCTTTAATTTTTTGGGTAGACAACAATGCAGTTCTAGATTAAAAGAGATTTAGGAAGTCTAACATATCTAATGACTGATTATGGTGTGAACAAACTAGTGACAAAAAACACTTCTTACATAATTGAAAAAATATAAAAAATTAACTGGCTATTAAAAGCTACTGGAAATACTTTCTTCAGACTAGCCTCAAATGTAATGATGTCTGTAATTTACTTATGTTAAGTTTTTGTTTTGTTTTGTTTTTTTCTTGGTAATGAGGATTGAACCGAGGGCCTTTGCACTGGGCCACATCACCGTTCATTACTTATCTGCTTATCTGTCCAGGCTGGGCCTGAACTTGCAATCCTCCTGCCTTAGGCAAGACTCTGTCTAAAAAAACAAAAACAAAAAAAAAAACAAAAAACCCTAAAAACTGAAAACCCATTTATTAACTGATTTGGAACAATGATATTTATCTAAATTCATGCAGCCTATCTAGTTATATTTATAGTTTTGCTGATATGAAAAGCCAACTTACTCTTTCATGAGGGCTGGGAGTATCTCTGGTGCTTGATAGCCCAAATGAGGCAGAACAATGAGACAGTAGAAAGAAGGGGCTATGCTAGGAGATGCTCCCCAAAGTATGAGCAATGGGATAAAAATATCAAAACAAAATAACTATGAGCAATGAAATCCTTCACTAAATCAACTCTTAAAACAGGGCATGGTGATACTAAAGTTAAAATAGCAACAGATATAAAAGAGACCAGATCTAATAATCACCAGTGCCTATCTTATTTCCTTCCTGGCTCACGCTAAGTACTAAAAACAAGAAATATGAATGAAATTAGCCTACTACAGAAAGTTGAGATAGCACTTTTACTGACTACTTGTTTCTCCTCCCAATTATGCTCTTATGAGATAAGAAGTGTGGAAGTATTGGTAAATTTTGGCAACATGAAACAGAACAGAAATATTTCATGTTGTTTATTATGTCCCAAGTCATAGTAGGAACATATTCTCTATACAGGGAAATGTAAGCAATCCTTCCTGAGCCCACAGTTTTAAACCGACTTGTGACAAGATCTACAAGTACTTGACACCTCCTTTTCTTCCCAGTTTTGCCCTCCCTCACACTACACTTCCTTCTCTAACCAGCCTGGACCACTGGCGGATTAGCCAAACTACTGATTTCAAGTTCCCTTCACTTATGATCTTTTGATATATGTAACCCAAAGGTTCCCAACTCTGGATCAGGAGACAATTTATCTTTTCTGCTCTCCCAAGAGAACTGAACACAGGTCCAGCTGTGTGTGGTATGGTGACATATAGCTGTAATTCCCCCGTCTGGGGGGATACTTGGGAGACTGCAAGTTTGAGGCCAGCGTAGGCAACTTAATAAGAAATTGTCTCAAAATAAAATTATAAAAATGGACTGAGGACATAGTTCAGTGGTAGAGCACTTGCCTAGCATGTGCAAGGTCCTGAGTTCAATCCCCCAGTAGTGCAAGTAAATAAACATATCTACCACTATCATCCTGTTAATTGTGCTACATATTCCCTTATCCTTCACCGTACATTAATGTCACCTCTAGCATCTTACTTGCAGAACTTCTCTTAGGTCTTAAATTCTGACACTATGACTGTTTACTTAAACTTCATTAGCCTACAATGACAGTGTTCATTTTATTTTCTATCTCTCTGTTCATTTCTCTTAGGTTCCTTTCTTTTTCTTTTTCTTTGCAGTACTGGAGATCAAACTCAAGACCTTGCGCTTGCAAGACAGACACAGCGCCAATGAGCTCACTCTCTGGCCAATTTTCTTTTTCTGTTTTTTTTAAACAAGCTCTTATTATATAGTTCAGGCTGGCTTTAAACTAGCAGCAATCCTTCTGCCTCAGCCTCCCAAGTGTTGAGATTTACAGGTATGTGCCACCACATCTGGCCTTAGTTTCCATTTTTGACATCTTTTCTATATTTTTTAACTTCAAAATCTATATTGCTAGTCAGAGTTCCCACATGACCATACCTGTTAGACATCACTACCCTGGATGCAGAACAGAACCTACAAGAAACTGCTTTTCACATCACCCACCCCACTCCTCTGTATTATGCAATGACTGGGTGCTACACACCTAGGTAGTTTCTCACATCACAAATTTTAAGTCCTACCTTCTCTTCCTCATTCTCATCATTCACTCACTGAAGTCTACTCATCAAACTACCAAGCCCATATATATCATGTGCATGTTGGTATTAAGGATTAAACCCTCAGACAATCTGCCACTAAACTACATCCCTACCCCTTTTAATATTTTTATCTTGAGACAAGTCTCAGTAAGTTGCTCAGCCTGGCTTGGAACTTGCAGTCCTCCTGCTTCAGCCTCCCAAGCAGCTGGTATTATGGGCACGTGCCACCGTACAAGGCTCTTAAAGTGTTCTTACAGTGATCATTAGAGCAGTTTCTAAACAGATCTCTACATCTCAAACGCTCTGATCTTATTTTTATTTGTGTAGTAAAAATATAATGAACAATGCAGAGCCCAATCCTGCTCTTCTCTACTTATGTCAGCTGCTCTTTCTTCCTAGCCCTGTAGCCATCCCTCAGTTCAGCTTAGTTCAGCTTAGTTTTGAACCTCAAGTGTCCTAACTGCAGGATATTCGGGCCTGGAAGGGGTCCCACCAGAAAGGACACTTGCAGAGCTGCAAGTACTCCTTGCTGTGTAAGCCACCCCTCCAAGAAAGAGCAAAGGGAACTGAAGTATATAAAAACTTCAGGCTAAAAAGTTGCAAGATGACAGCCAGCATCAAATTCTTGAAGGATTTATTATGGATACAGATTTATGAACCTTCGACTCTGAGAGTCACAAAGAACATGAGAAAAGATGAATTTTTTTTGTTTTCCTGTTTTTGAGACAAGCTGTCACTATATTGCCCAGGTCAGTGTTGATCTCACAATCCACACACCTCAACCTCCCGAGTAGCTAGGATTATGGCTATATGCCACACCCTGGCCCAAAAATCAACCTTTAACCATCATGTTCTGTTTTGGTTTTTTTTGAAACAGGGTCTTGCTTTGTAGGCATTGAGTTCACTAGGTAATCTAGGCTGGCCTCGAACTTGTGGCGATCCTCCTGTTCAGCCTCTCAACTGCTGGGATTACCAGCGCATGCCACCATGCCTGCCTCATGTTCAGTTTTTTTTTTTTTTTTTGGTAAGGGGGATTGACTCAGGACCTTGCACTTGCGAAGCCGGTGGCAGAACCACCAAGCTAAATCCCCAGCTACATGTTCTGTCTTAATAAAGGTGTTTAACTACAATTTAAAATAAGACAGTACTCATACAATTAAAATTAAACTGGGGCTGGGGATTTAGCTCAGTGGTTTTGCTCCTACCTCATAAGCACAAGGACCAGAGTTCTATCCCTGGTACCAAAAAACAAAAACAAACAAACAAACAAAAACCTGGATCAGAACTCTTCAATGGCTCCCTGTCATGTACAGAAAAAATTTAAGCTCCTTTGTAGGGTTTACAAGATCCTTTACAAGATCCTTAAATTGGCTTCCAGTAACCATGCTGCTTTATATCTTGTCATTATGTGCTTTACTCTCCCTGTTTCACAAATAATGACATGCTTACGGTTTTCAGGCATAACATGCTCTTTCCGTAGTTATATGCTTTTGTGCATACAATGTCTTTCTCCTAGAAATCTGACCACCATTGTCAATATTTCTGATAAATTCCTATCCATTCCTCAAGGCTATATCTTTCTAAGTTTTCCCAACATCAAGGGGGAAAATCAGGCTTAATAAATGTTTGCTGAAGTGAACAATTAATTTGTACAGCTTCCCACCAGCCCAAGCTCCCTAAGGAGCGCCCATTTCTAAGAGACTTTTTCATCATAAAACAAGAACAATCTCAGGCAATCAGAATGGCTGGCTGACCCCCTTTATAAAGATAGGAAATGTATCATTAATTATACTATATTCTTAACTTACATGTTTGTTACATAGGAATGAACAGTAGTAATGTTTAAAATAATGATTAATTCAGATGAAAATGGATGTGGATAAACAAGTTATCAGCATTTGCTTTGATTTCATGGTACCAGATTTTATCTTTACCTTTCAACAGATAGGGCTACTAACAAAGGCTAATGTGCATCAGGTATCTGATATCACCAATGCAGTGTAAGCAATAACCAAAAAGGAAGAAGACATACAATAAAACCATCTGAAGACTTCATACCAGCCTCCTAAATGTTCACTCTATTAAAACCTGGAGCTGTAGGACAGAAAGGCCAATACCAACTACAATTTGTTAACTCTTAGCTCAGTGGTTCCACTGCCTGCCTCTCAAGCACAAGGTCCCAAGTTAAATCCCTGGTACCCAAAAAAAAAAAAAAAAAAAAAAAAAAAAAAAAAAAAAGCAGAGTAGATAAAGGAGGAAGATGGTTCTCTCCATTCAACAACGGGAATATTACCAAGAATCCAATATGTATTTAAATTTGAATAGAGCTGAGACATTACCCACTATGGCAAAAAGCTCTCATTACTCCTGCAGGATCTGAGTGATTCCCTATAATACTTGTAATTTAAAAAAAAAAATCCAATCACCATTAATTACTTCCAACACTCTAAATCTAGAGGCCTAGCAGATCAGAGTACCTCTATTACAAATTGTGTTTCTAATGTACAGACATCAGATATACATAACAGGAAACCCTTGTACTATTAGGTCTGCTGATAATTCCCAATTAACTAGCTGTAACTCAGAAGAGAAAGAAGTATATAATCTTATGTGGTTACTTTATTACCTGTTGTTCAGCAAAATGTTTGAACACTTAATGTCCCGATGCAAGAAATTCTTTTTGTGACAGTAATCCAGTCCTTCCATTAGCTGTTTCATGAATGACTTAATATGGTCCTCAGAAAAGTGCACCAAACCAGATTCAAGCAGTCCCATTAAGTCATGGTCCATATACTCAAATACGAGGTAGAAGGCACCTACATAAATGAAAAAAAATAAAAATAAGAAAAAAGAATGCTGAAATCACAATACCTCAAATTTTAATGTAATTTTAGAGGTGACCATAAGGCTTTCTGGAATAATCCCTTAATTTTACAGATGAAAAAACGAAAAGTAAGAATAGTTAAATAATTTGTCCTTTGTAATAATAAATAACGTAATTTATACTTGAATTAAATCTTCTGACTGAATCCAGGGAGGGCTCTTTGGATTGTTTACCTTCTGAGGGAACAAATGTCATGGTTAGGTTGTATTAAAAGACTTTTGATGATCTAAATTAGTGAATTACAGACACTGGGCTAAATCCAGACTGCTGCCTGTCATAAATACAGTCTTATTTGTAAGGCAATCGCATCCATTTATTACATATTGTTTAGGACTACTTTTGTAAAGGTCTTTACCTCAGTTAACAGGACTCACATAATATGCTAGGGTCAGTACAGTGTATTTGGCATAAACCATCAGTGAAATTTACAGTACTTTAGAATTGAAAAAAAGGTGAACACCTAATTAAACCTCTGAAATTCTTAAGTAGATAAAAGGGACAAGAAGTAGTTGTAAACAGTTTGAAATGCAGACTATCTTTTCATTTTTGGGAGAATGAAATGACAAAGGCAAACACTGTAAATAAAGTAAGAAACACTCTAATGTAAGAAATACTAGACCTAAAGCAAGAATAGTGGCATTTTCCTGTAATCCTAGCACTTTAGGAGGCTGAGGCAGGAGGATCCCCAGTTTGGGCCCAGCCTGGGCCACTTACAAACTTAGCAAGACCCTATCTCAAAATGAAAAATTAAAAAAGACTGTCGATGTAGCTTGATGCAAAGGATCCGGGTTCAATCTCCATTGCTTCAAAATCAACCAACCAACCAACCAAGCAAGAAGAAATATGTGGAATGCAATCCAAAATAAGAGTACATTTCACCTATCTGGCTAGGTGACAATTTTTAAAAATATATACACAATCACATATCACTTAACTCTTGGGATACACTGTGAGATGCATTTTTAGGTAATTTCACTGTCCAGGACACCTAGGATAGACAGCATAAGGGTGTTATGGATGCGGTCATCACTGACAACAATGTCACTGGTGCCAAGACGGTGTTCAGTGTTAGGGAGGACACAGTGGGTGAGGCATCACTGAGGGGACATAAATTGCTACCATCTTTCTTAAAAGCAATTTGACATTAAATACAAAAACCTCTTTAAGTAATTCTATGTCTAAGAAGCTATATTAAGAAAATAAATCAGGCTGGGAGTGTATCTTTGTGCTGCAGTACATGTTCAGCATGCGGGAGACCCTGGGTTCAGTTCCTAACACCAAAATAAAACCAAAAGTTGTATCACAAAGAGTTATGCTGAAAGATGGCTCAAGGGATGCTATTCTGTTTTTATTTGTTTTTGAGACAGGCTCTTGCTATTTTGCCTATGCTAGCCCAAACTCCTGGGCTGTTATCCTCCTGCTTCTGCCTACTGAGTAGCTGGGACTACACGCATCCATTAGCACACCAGGCTTTTTTTTGTTTTTTGGTACCAGGGATGGAACTTGAGACCTTGCGCTTGTGAGGCAGGTGGAAGAACCACTGAGCCAAATCCCCAGCCCTTCTTACTGTGATTTTTAAAAGGTGAATATAAGTAGTATACAATAAATGATTTTATAGCACAGAATGCCATGGATGAAAAGTCCCTCTCCAAAAGTAACCAATTAATATTTTCTTCTGCATCCTTACAGAAACTAGTTATGTATTACTGTGTAAAATAAAGATTATATACACCAAAGAATATACCTAGTAGTCTTAATTCTTTTTAGATCTAAACTTTACACATTTACCTATATACCAGAATTTCTTTTATTTGCTTTAAAACTATGAAATTAGGGTTGCTACTCTTCTAGTGTCGCCATCCTTAAGGCTCAGTAAACAAGTCCAGTTTAACTTTACCTTTAATCTTTTTTGTTTTATAGACTTCATTTTCAAAAACTCCAGACTATATTCACAGATACCTATAACTCTATCTTTGACTGCCCACGTTTAAATCTTCTTCAGATTTGTTATAAGATTGGATGATGTCATGTATGAATTACTTCAACATTAAGTATGAAAATGTGCTTCTGCTCAGCGTGGTGGTGCACATCTGTAATCCCAGCACTCAGGAGGCTGAGGCAGAAGGATTGCTGTGAGTTTGAGACCAGCCTGGGCTGCATAGTGAGTTCCACGGGAATCCGAACCACATAGTGAGACCTGTCTCAAACCCCTCCCCACAAAGTGTTTTTATCTTAAAAGTTATAACTCTATGAAAGCAAACCATATGACCTGATTAAAAAAAAAACTTTCTAGGAATACCTTTGAATTCTAAACTATATCAGTATAAAAATATGGATGTATAAGGAGAATAGCTAGAAGAGATGATGTAAATTAATCTGAGTATTGTGTTGTATTTTCAGTCCTGGGGATTGAACCCAGGATCTGTGCACTGAGCATACTACTCCAGCCCTTTTATTTCAGACAGGGTCTTGCTAAGACTCTGAACCCATGGTGGGCTCATGCTTGTGATCCTTCAGACTCAGCCTCGTGAACCTGGATTTTAATTTCCATCATTGTTTTGTAATTTTAAAGAAAAGCCTCTAAAAACCTAGAGGACCTAAGCCAGGTGTGGTGGTGTATACCTGTAATCCCAAGAAAGGCTGAGGCAGGAGGATTGCTACAAGTGCCAGGTCAGCCTGGGCCACAGAGTGCATTCCAGGGCAGCCTGAACTACACAGTGAGACTCCGACTCCAAACAAAGAAACAAAAAATACACACACACACACACACACACACACACACACACACACACACACACAAATTAGAGGACCTGCGAATTTAGCTCAGTGGTAAGAGCATGTGCTTAGCATGTAGGAGGCCCTAGGATGGATTCTCACACATAAACACAAAATAGAAAGGCGAAACAAAACTCAATGAAAAACAAAACAAAAAACTAGGAAAACACACACACGCACACACACACACACACACAAATTAGAGGACCTGCGAATTTAGCTCAGTGGTAAGAGCATGTGCTTAGCATGTAGGAGGCCCTAGGATGGATTCTCACACATAAACACAAAATAGAAAGGCGAAACAAAACTCAATGAAAAACAAAACAAAAAACTAGGAACGGTTGATTAGAAGATAATCTTACATTGTTTAGCTGCTAGTTTTATTAGGAGTTACAGCAGATCCTATCTAGCCAACAGAAATTTTAAAGATAAACCAAGTACACCAACGAAGAATAGACAATTGAGAAAATGAGTATTATTCAGCATAAAAATAATCTACCAGCATTACATCTGGTATAGATAACAAGAAGTTAACACTTTACTACAGGGCCAGGGATTTAGCTCAGTGGTTCTGCTGCCTGCCTTCTTGCTTGCAAGCTCAAGGACCCGAGTTCGATCCCCGGTACCAAAATCAAAACAACCCTCCCCAAACAAAACAAAAAAACAACACTTTATTACAACGTATTAAAAATCTCACATATGCTGGGGATTTAGCTCAGCAGTGCAGTACCTGCCTGGCAAGCTCAAGGACAAGTTCAATTCCTGGTAGCAAAAAAATGAAAAACAAAAAAAAAACACACATACACATAAAAATCTCATATAAAAGCTGAACATGGTGGTGCACAAGTCCCAGCACTCTGGGAGGCTGAGGCACAAAGTTCTAAAATTTGAAACCAACCTAGAAAACTTACTAACTTAGCAAGACCCTATCGACCAAACACAACAACAAAAGGAACTGTAAATGTAGTTTAGTGCAAAGGCCATAGGTTCAAATCACAGTACTGGAAAATAAAATTATACCAATCTACACTGTAGAAATATGATTCTTTGGTATTACCTTTGTCCTTCTTGAAATCCAGTGCATCTTGTTTATCTGTGACAATTTCCTTCATGTTAACAACACTTCGGTGGATTAACTGACGAAGAATTTTGATCTCACGTATGGCTGTGATTGGGAAGCCCTCCTTCTCATTGTCCAGTCTCACCTTCTTCAGAGCTACTAGTTCTCCTGTCAAAACAAATTCAAACCATTGTTATTAATTAGCATTTTTCAGTCATCATCATGAATCAGTTTTGTTTGTCCTTCCTCTCACCTGATATCTATTTTTCTATCTTTATTTTAAAAAATCCTTATGGTCCCTTTTTCTTTTGGTGCTGGGGATTAAATTTAGGACACTGTATATGGTAAGCACTTTACTGCAGGTTGGATGTTCCCTTTCTTGTCTTTTATTTTTTGAAGGCATGGAGTTATTAACTCAATATTCAGTTAACCCTATCTAAAAATGTTAGATTAAAATATACCAGTATGGCCAGGGATTTAGCTCAGTGGTTCTGCCGCCTGCCTCACAAGCCCAAGGTCCTGAATTCAATCCCCAGTACCAAAAAAAACCCCCAAAAAACAAAAAAACAAAAAACCTCAGTATGGGCTGGGGATTTAGCTCAGTGGTTCTGCCACCTGCCTTGCCAAGTGCAAGGACCCGAGTTCCATCCCTGGTACAAAAAAAATAAAATAAAATAAAAAATTATACATACACCAAATTCAAACACTTCATTTTATATTCAAATTTTCTCCTATTTGCTAACAAATAGGAACCATAAGTTCAAGCCCAGGTTGGACAAATGTTTACCTGTATCTTTGTCCTTAGCTTTATATACTTGACCATAGGTTCCTTCTCCAATAATCCCAATAATGTCAAACTTGTCCACACAGCGTTTCCCCCAGTCGGTTTCTGTTTGTCGTCTTTCTCCATAGCGAGGACAACAAATTCTAAAAACAAAAACATTTTAAATAATGACTCCACCAGTTCCTATATTTTATTATTATTGAAATAGCAGAAATAAAATTATACGATAAACAGTCTCTCAATGACTAAAATGATTAAATAATAGATTTGTTGCTTACTTCCGACTTGAGTACACTGGCTTCAACTATAAGAGGCAAAGAATCTCTACATTCAAGGGTTACCATAAAAGAAGAAAAAAAAAAGATCTCTGGCCATAACATATGCTCAATTAAGTGGTAACTATTTTTATTATTAACAGAAAAATGCTAAAAGTTAAGCCAGGTGTGGTGGCACACACCTGTAATCCCAGCACTCAGGAGGCTGACAGAGGAGGATCGCCATGAGTTTGAGGCAAGCCTAGGCTATATATAGAGTTCAAGGTCAGCGTGAACTACATGGAGACCCTGTTTATAAAAAAATCTGCGAACATGACACTACAAGTGCCTGGGAGGGCGCACACCATAGCCTATAGCCCATGTGGGGCCTTAGCACCCCCCACATCCTGACCAATGCAACTGTGCCAGCTCTGCTCGGACTGCATAAATTCAGAGAAACATGAGTGGATAACAGAAAATAGTACTGAAACAATGGGAATTGGCAACTTTTCACAGGAAGCTATGGGAGTATTTACTATAGTCTGCCTGAAGTTGGGACAAAATTGAAAAAGCATGATGAGTTTGGCACTTTGGAAAGTATGAAACCTGCTAGTAAACTCTATTTTCCTGTCCGGAATAGAAATGAAATTAATGAACACTTGGACAAAATCAAGGGCTTGTTAACAAATTTTGTTAGCAAGATGACTGGCTCATCAAGATGACAGTGACTCTTCAGAACTAGATGAGCGCATGAGCAAAGAAGATTATGAGACATAGGTGCAATCAATTTAGGAGTGAAATGGCACCCAAAATAAACTAGTGTGAAGTGACTTCTTCCAGCAGTGTCTGCAATTAGTGGTGGACAGAAGACTTGAGATAACATCTTTTGGTAATACTGAATCAATGGAAAAGAAATGGCTCTCAACACTGCTCCGAGACAGAAACACCCCTTAACTCCCCAGTGACTGTAGATACACACAATGTTTTTTATAACACCATCTTTATATATCCCTTATGATTTTTATTTTTACTGATACAGGATCTTGCTGAGTGGTCCAGGCTGGCCTTGAACTCGTGGCAATTCTCCTGCCTCAGTCCCCCAAATGCTGGGACTACAGGTGGGCACCACATCCACCGGCACCTTTTTTTTGTGGGGGGTGGTTGAGATAGGGTCTCACTATGGAGCCCAGGCTGGCCTTGAACTCCCAGAGATCCTCCTGGCCCAGCCTCCCAAGAGCTGGGATTACAGGTGTGCACTACCATGCCCAGCAAACTGTACATTCTGATATTCAAAATTCATGAAATTATCCATGGTAAAAACTAGTTATACAAATTACATAATTCACGGATAACAATGTTATCATAACCCTTACATCATAGCATAACTTACATTTCTCCTTGGATTTGTGTGGAAATACTGAAAATGATCTTCTTGGAAATAATCGGGGGTATAGGACTATGTGTGTCAAGTGCATAATGTCAGATGAAGAACAATACTTCCTTAATTTTACAACAGACTGTAATGGTTGGGGCTGTTTTTATATACTGAAACAACAGCTTTTCAGCACAATAATAAATAAAATATTCAACTTCTTTAAAAACAAAACATACCATATCTAGCTAGGTATCTGTGGGTGTAGATGAACAGACCTTCCTAGAAAGGCTTTTGGCCATAAAAACAAAAAATATACTTTATAGGACAAAACTTCTATGATTTTACTGGTATAGACTGGAAGAAACATGTAAGACTTAGTCCAAAAGTAAGAGGGAAAGCTGTAATTAAGAACAGATCTCTCCAAAAACTCACTTTGGTCTCTTTTTAAATGGTTGCTGAGGTGGTGTAATTGCCTTTGGCTCTGGAGAGTCTGGGGGAGATGGATCCCCACCAGGGAGCTCAGGAGGGAGAGGAAGGTCTGTGAGTAAATGGCGTGTCCTCTGTTCCTTCTCTTTCTTTACAGGTTTTGAAGGAAGAGTTTCTTTTGGACTAAATGAAGAAAGAAAAACATTGCAATTACTTAAAGGATACGCAAATACAACTTTATAAGGAAGTTACAATGTATAAAGCATTACAAAGATTTTTAAGGAAAAAAAACCTATAATATAAAAAAAGAAAGTTTAAAAACTAGGATATCACTTATTGTCCTTTTATCAAACTTTTACTGTCTTTCCTGAAATTCTAGTTGGGTTTTATTGAGAGGAAATAAGATGGATTTTTTTTTTTTTTTTTTTGGTATGGGGGTAAAACTCAGGGCCTTGCACTTATGAGGCAGGCAGCAGCACCACTAAACTAAATCCCCAGCCCCATAGGAAGTAATTTTTGAAACTCATGGAATTTACCAACCTTACTGGACACTGTTGTTTTTTTGAGATATGATCTCACTATGGAGTTCAGGGTGGCCTTGAACTCACTATGTAGCCCAGGCTGGCCTTGTACTCCTGCCTTCCAAGTGTTGGGATTACAGGCGTGTGTCATGTTACACCACACTGCTATCTATTCTATACTGTAACCAACAAAGATTTAAATAATAAATGAGCTAAACAATTCAGCACTACTGTATTACTGAATATGTGGGGAAAATGTGGAAAAAAGAAACTTTGAGATAGGAGCTCACTGGTTACTAAGTTGCCCAGACTGGGCTCCAACTTCTGATCCTTCTACATCTGCATACATGTAATCTCAGCTACTTGGGACGCTATGGCAAAAGGATCCCAAGTCGAGCCCAGCTTACACAATTTAGTGACCCCGTCTCAAAATAAAAAATGTAACTGGCCGAGAACACACACGCAAATCTAGCTAAGTTGGAAATGCAGATCACTGTGAGTTTGAGGACACTCTGGGATACACAGTGACTTCAAGGCCAGCCTGAACTACATAGCCAGACTTTGTCAAAAAAGAAATAAAGAAAAAAAAAGTATTATAGTAAAAGACACATTGTCATCGGTCAGGGATTTACCTCAGTGGTTCCACCACTTGCCTCGCAAGCTCAAGGACCAGAGTTTGATCCCCAGTACCAAAAAAAAAAAAAAAAAAAAAAAAAAAAAAAAAAAAAAAAAACTAACCCCCTCTCAAAACACTCCTTCCACATGCTTCAAACACACTTATCCAATTGTTCTTGCAAATTTTTGAAGCCGTTCTGGAAGTCCTCTTTTGCATCTTTGTTGCGCTGTCATAATTTCCTCAATGTCCGGAATCAATTCAAACTTCACATTTCATGGTCATTTTGACCTTGGGGAAGTGGTAAGTCATAGGTGGCTGATTCGGTGAATATGATAAAGACTCACTGTAATGTTTTTATAAGCCTGCCTTTCTGTAGAAGGCAGCATTCACCATATTCACATTTTTTATCACATCTCATAGAGATTTTCAGGTGGCTGATTCGGTGAATATGATAAAGACTCACTGTAATGTTTTTATAAGCCTGCCTTTCTGTAGAAGGCAGCATTCACCATATTCACATTTTTTATCACATCTCATAGAGATTTTCATGAAAGAAAACTTCCAGATCTGCTTCAGAAAGTGGCCAAGAATAATGGAATAAGTGTGTTCACTCAAAGAGTGGGGAGTACTTTGAGTGGGATTAACAGCAATGTGTCGGGCCAAGGTTTAGCTCAGTGGTCCTGCTACCTGTCTCACGAGTGGAATATCCCAAGCTCACTCCCTGGTACAAAAAAAAAAAAAAAAAAAAAAAAAGCAATGTGTCTTCTAGTGTAGCAAATTTTTTAACAATTTAAATGTTTGGCCAGGATTGGTGGCACACACCTCCAATCTCAGCACTTGGGAGGCTGAGGCAAGAGGAATGACACAAGTTCAAGCCCATCCAGGGCTACACAGTGAGTTCAAGGCCAGCCTGAACTACACAGTGAACCCTGTCTCAAAAGAAAAAAGAAAAAGAAATAAAAAAATCACTCTATATTTCAATTACCCTTTGTACTAAAGTATTCTACTTTTTAAAAAGTAGAATATAAGTGTCTCCGACCAGACAAAATAAGTAAATCTCAAACAAAAAAATCTAAGGAGAGAGTTCAAGCAACTATTTCAGAATCATTAAGGCAGCTGGTAGCAGAAGGATCATGTGGTAACTATCAAATTACAGTAGTTAGGGTGGGGGAAGAAAAAAAGAAAGGATAGCTTTTCTGGAATAAATCAGAAAAGTCAATTTTGGATCAAATTTTTTTCAACCATAACGATTTATTCATGAGCATGTGCCATCTAAGTCCTCAGAAAAGATAAAACATCTATAGTGCAGGACCTATTTCATGCCTATAAAGAAACTCCACTCCTTCCATTATCAGAAGGTTGAAAAGGATCTCAGAATCCTAACCACTCCTCCAAGGTCCTCTTTTTCTGATAGATGGTAATAAGAAAACAGATGCTTTGTACCAACTCTGTTTCATAAGAAACAGATCAATTTCTTGCAATATATCTTTTTAAACAATACTGCTGCCCTTTGTGTGAAATTATCATTTTTTTCCATAATAGATACCATTTATTCAAAATGTAAGAACACAATCTCAAGAGCTATACTTCTAACTAGATTTTATTATTTTAAACCCCCATAAATCTGAAAGAACAACAGAATCTAGGTTAGTTTGTACCACATTAACTAGAACAGGAGTGATCAACAGAGGACGAAATGATCACTTGAAACTTCCTATTGAGTTACCGGTAGAGATGAACATTATAATCTGTACTCACATTTTTCTAGCCCAGAACAAGATCTATTACCAGAAAACTCTTGAGTCAGGATGCAATATAAATTTTTAAAGATATTTAGGGAGGAAAAATTCTTAATTTCTCAAATGTCAGAATATTCTTTATAAGCTTTAATGCCTCATGATTCAGCAATAGATTTTCTTATTTCTGCTTTACTAGAAGAAAAAGAAAAATCCAAGTATCCAAACTGCCTCATGAATGTTACTCAAGTTAAGATTAGTCTGTTTTGTATTTAGGGTTTGTTCCTCTAAAGTTTATATATTCCTTCTGAAAAACTACAATTATTACGAGTTTAAGAACAAACAAGTATTTGATAGGATATGTACAAGTTAAGGGCACACAATTTCAATAAAGGTCAAATCCTATTTCAATAAGTTTCAATATATGAAAAACCTTGAAAATTTAATGGTGACTGTAAAACTACCTTTGACAATATTGCCATTACTCTTTCGTGTAAGGCACTAAGAAAAACATATAGCTTTATATAGTGACCAAGATGTGGTAGATATAGAGAAGGTCTAACCTAAAGGAGAGACTGTATATCAGTCACTACTTAAACATCTGGTACTGATGTACACCCTATCAGCATCAGTAGTTCCTGGTTTCCCATTTATACCTATACACAGGTTCACATGTGGTAATTAGGTCACATAATAATACCGTTTTTTTGGTACTGGGAATTGAACTCAGGACCTTGTGCTTGTGAAGCAGGTGCAGTGCCAATAGCTAAATCCCTAGCCATACTTTCGCCATTTTCTAAAAAGGGTGCCAGACGGGCAAGGAATTTAGCTCAGTGGTTCTACCGCCTGTTTCACGAGTGAAAGGACCTGAGTTCAATCTCTGGTACCAAAAAAAAAAAAAAAAAAAA